CCCCAACTTTATGATGCTATGATGGTCTATGCAGGTGTGCTAAATAAAACCCTCCCTTTCAATGCCAATATAAAAGATGGATTATATTTATTCAATAGGACAAAAGGCACATATCCAGGTATCTTACTAACCAATCTTTACCTACTAAACTCTTCCTTCTCTATTTAGGAGCACTTGGTGATGTCACAGAAGCATGGGATGGGTCTAGGATACCCTATTTCATCCTTACAGGTGTGGGTGATACAGCAGAACCAAAAAGATTAATTGTTATACAATTGGACGTTGACGTAAATGTAGTAAGTGAAGATCCAAAAAAATCTGATACTTATATTTGTGCAAGTAAGGTATATTCGCAAGAATTACAGACATTAATACCGTTATATGGCCAGCAAAATGAAAAATCGTTTGTATTCAACGGACGTCCCTTACCCTTAACCGTCCCGGCTTGTGGATTTACAGGTAAAAATTAGGATCTGCGAGTGATGTCTCGAAATCCCAAAATTATGCTTTCTTTGTATCTATATATGATATTCGACTTTTACGATGGTCCTCATTCCAGGATCGGGTTGCCCTATCTCATTTTTTGATGCTTATCGTGGATATGTTATCGCAGCTATATGTATAGCTGCACTTCTCATACTTGCAGTCGTTGTCGTGATTATCGTAGCGTTGAAGTAGGTTGATATAGAAAAATCTCTACAATAGTTGAAAGATTTTCGAATACAATTTTCTAGTTGAAGCCCATAAAGGAGCCCACTGATCCCATTCCCTTTATTACTAAAAACTAACAATCCTATCATCCCTAAAATATGCGTTTCTTAACCAAACTAGTATCACCTTTGATCCAAAAAATTCTGAGATTATCAAGTTCTACATTTAGTGGTAGAAAGAACGAGAAAAAGAGGCAAGATGCTCTGTGGAAAATACCGTCGCACAAACTAAGGAAGTCAGTGTATAAGGTTAACTTTTTGAAGTACTATATTTTCTTCGTTCGTGCCCAAATGCATCTTTGTATCCAGAGCACATCGCTGTCATTTACATCGACAGTTTCTGGAACACAATCAGAGATATTGGATTCAAAGGCAGAAACTGACAAGATGTGCTATTTTTATTTTGAAAATAAGCCACTGACCGCTTTCAAGCACTCAGTTCCAATCAGATTCGACGAACGAACCAATGCGGAATTCAGAAAGGTCTGTAGAATTTTAAAAATAAGTAAGGGTTACTGGTTTCTATGAGCCCCCTACGCTTCAGTTTGGTCAAGTACTGAAATATAACCTACAATCTTGCTGCAACTGTGAGGAAAGTTGCTGCACCTCCAGCGCTACCATCGCCAACATTATCAGTGTTGCAGCAAAACTTAGCAACAACATTAACACCCGAAGTTGCAGCAACGCGACACCAATACTATAACACTAACAAATTGGCAGCACCACGCGGACATTCTATCAATGCCACAAACAATACCAAAGTTGCAGCAACAATGCAACTAACAGCGTTACTAACATTAACAAAGCTGCAGCAATGATAACATTACCAACACCAATAACACCACCAAAATTGCAGCAACACTCATATTAACACCAATAAGTTGCGGCAGCAACTATCAGCATTACAAACACTACCAAAGATGACGCAACAATGATACTATCAACACCACAAATGCTGCAAAGTTGCAGCAACACTATATCAATGCTAATAACTTTATAAGAATTGCAGCAGTACTATCATTATCAACATTACTGAA